AAATTTAGAGAAAGAAAGAACACCAATTGAGCACACCATGTAATCCTTCCACCATGGGTAGGTGGTATGTAGTGGATACCCCCACGTGGATGCGTGTCGACTGTCGCCTGTAATCCCGAATGAGTTGCAACGCGTTCACGCTAACTGGGGGAGATGTCGACCGCGAGAAAAAGACTTGATTATAACGACAAGCTCATCCTGGCGCCCATGGTGCGTATCGGGACCCTTCCGATGCGTTTGCTCGCCCTCGACTATGGCGCGGATATCGTTTACACCGAGGAGTTGATCGACCGGAAACTACTCCGTTCGGTTCGTCGAGAGAACGGTAAGGTATACTTTTTCCCTCGGCAGCTGAAACGATTGCGTGAAAATTTTGCGCACCTACGTCGACGCGATGCCGAAGGGTTTGCTATCAATTTGCATCTTCAACTTTTGCCTTCATTCAACATAGGAATCTGCAATATAACGTTACTCGACTCGGTGCAATTGAATTTTCAACAAAATTGTCCGCAGATGTCCTGGGCACTGTCGATTACATCGACAAGACGGATGGCACCGTGGTATTTCGCACTTGTCCCCGGGAACGAGAGCACGTTGTCCTACAAATCGGTACGTCCGATCCAGCGAGAGCGGCAGAAGTCGCCCGTATGGTGGAAAATGACGTCGCGGGCATAGACGTTAATATGGGCTGCCCAAAGAAATTTTCCATTCTCGGCGGCATGGGCGCCTCTCTTCTCAGCAAGCCGCAAAAGGCGACAGAGATCTTGCGGGAGCTGATCGAGGCGGTGTCTATACCAGTCACGTGCAAAATACGCGTTTTGCCCGATCTCGAGGAAACCCTCCGGCTTTGCGACACCCTCGCTTCCACCGGTATCGCAGCCATTGCCGTCCACGGTCGCACCGTTGAGGAGAGACCGCAACATTCCAATCGCAACCACGTTCTCAAAGAGATCTCGGCTAGACTTTCGATACCAGTTATCGCCAATGGCGGTTCCAGGGATATCCAAAAACATTCCGATATACTTAGGTAACGCTTTAACGCGCGTCTGCACGTCCATCGGAAGGTCCCGTTTAACTTGTTAAAGCACGTTTTCCAGATTTAGAAAGGAGACCGGTTGCAGTAGCGTAATGCTCGCTCGCTCCGCCGAATGGAACTGCTCGATATTTCGTAAAGAAGGGCCTCTTCCAATGGAAGTTGTTATAAAGTCATACTTAAAGCATGCAATTGATTGCGACAATTCGCCTTCCAATACCAAGTATTGCGTGCAGAATATTCTGCGGGAGCTTCAGGAATCACCTCTAGGCAGAAGGTTCCTCGACGCGCAAACGCTGGAGCAGATATGGTGAGAATGTTTCGTCTTTTTTTTTTCTTTCTTTCTTCGTTTCGCCGCTCCTTTTCTTTTTATTCAATAAACTCTTCCTCCAGCGAGGTGTGGAGAATGGATGATTATTGCCGAGTCAAAAGTAAAGAGTTTCGTGACAGAGGTTTATTAGGTCGCTTTCAAATAGCGCCGGGAATCCTCGATAAAGATACAGACAACGGCGTTTCTCATAAAAGAAAGCTTCACGAAGAGGAAGATGTTTCTCTGATGCGTTGCGCCTTTTTAAGAAACAGTTATGTAACAGACGCGGAGCTGCCGAAGACCAGGCTGCTCAAGTGGACCAAGGAAAATCGTAAAAAAATGCCATTGTATAACACTCGGCAGGAGAATAAGCTGTTTTGCTCTGTGGTCACTGTGGATGGCAGGAAATATGGCTCTTCCTTCTGGTAAAGTTATATACTCGAGAGGTATTTTTTTTTACTTTTCTATTCTGCTTTAACGCATCTCTTTTTTTTTAGGGAAAAAAATAAAAAATGGGCCGAACAAGGTGCTGCTTTGGTGTGTCTCTACTTTCTGGGGATTATCGACGAAAAAAGTCTTGCCGCCGGTGGCAACATTCTTTCATGATAATACCTGCCTTATAGTATTTTTTTTTATCGTACACTCAACTTCTCATATCCTGCATCGTGATCTCGAGTAGACGTGAAGGGGGTAAAATTTCATAAATTGATGTTACTTTATTTATTTGTCACGTAATTGCGTGATAATATTAAAATGAGAAAGTAGGTGAAACATCGAGCGCGTAACATTTTTACTTGGTGTACAAGTCATTAAAATAAGGAGAGACGAACTTGTTTGTAATACAGGCATCAGAATGTATAAAAATATATTTTATACAAATGTAAAAATATATATAAACACATTCTTATATTGTAAATAAATAAATTTCGTTGATTTTTCATTTACTTTTTTTATTGAGAAGTTATTAGTTTCGTTATCGGCGCTTAATTCAATTTATGCGATTTCACGATGATTTTAACCCTTTGTAGCGATCAACTTGCAGCTTTTATGGAATAGCTGCGAG